GCACGGCACCCTACTCGCCGATCCCTAACGGTGTGCCAACTTTGATCACAATCGGCCCAGCCGTTCTCGAGATCTGGAAGCGTCACCCTGCCCGTGCGCACGTGCAGCTGCACCCCAACCGTGACACACGGAAATGTATTGCCCGGCGGTTGCCTACATCCATGCCAAGGATCAGCGCAATCGGCAAAATAACTACAGAGTTATTACACTTGCTACCGAACTGACACCTCTTCGCTTTGCACGTGGCACGTGCATTAGGGGTCACCCATACGCATCGAGAATAGCACACTACGTGTAAGAATGGAAGAGGCTATCCCACACAAAAGACGGCGAGTGAATCGGTCAAGCAGTTGTGGAGATATAAGCTTAGCAAAGGCGCACCCACAACGGCCGACTGCCAATAATAAGCAATAATCAGTGCCGCGTCCGCACATGGGAGGTGTCCCCTTCACCTGTTCGTATACTCAATGTGGTTGGGTTCAAGTCACAGTCGAGCCCTGCTTTTTTACAACTTTTCTTGAAAACGGCACACCGTGCAGTGACGTGCTATACATCGTTGGAAAGAGCATCGAAAGTCGTATATTATATCAACTTTTCACCTATATATATTACTAACGATAAAAGTTATAGAGGAATAAAGACGCACCCATTGACTTTCCATGTTAAAAATTTTCATTTTCAAACGAACTTTATTAGAAAAAACGATTTCTGCCAGCTTAACGAAGCATACCAGCATGTACTATGCTCCTTTCTCTACAAGATATAAGAGTTTGGGCGAAATCTATCTCTAAAATTTTGTACAAAGATCGAATGAAAATGTCTCTGCAAAGTCTCGACATCGCCGTCCATTGACTTAACATGGGACACAGCAAAATTCCAACTTTGACCTCGTGCAAAGACACGTTCCGAGATTCTGAGGGGTATACAGCGCACACTAGCGTGTACCCAAACGTGTTTGCCATAAAATGCTGGGAAGAAAACCACCTCTTCCTTGGCTCGTTTTCCCGCTATTGGCGATCGCGCAAAAAGTGTCCAAAACCCCGTTCACTTAACACGGGGAAAATGGAATCGCACGTGCCACGTGCCACGAGGTTTTAAGCGAGTAGCGACCGATGCCATAAGGTAGATCGCCTCCGGGAGCCTATACACTGAACTTTTTACGAAGATTGTACATTTCGTCTAGGCCCCAATCAAGATGTCTCGATTCGCTGCCAGACTTGCAAAACATAGCCCGGAGAACGACCGCTCCGGTTGTTTTTCAATAGAAAAACACAATTCTAACGAATAGTGTTTGTCTTTTCAAACAACCTGCGGTTACAAAACATAGCCCGGAGAACGACCGCTCCGGTTGTTTTTCAATAGAAAAACACAATTCTAACGAATAGTGTTTGTCTTTTCAAACAACCTGCGGTTACACAAACAGCAATGACGTAATTTGCATATTTTTGACAAGATTTCTTAATAAAACTTACAAAAAATGTTCATTAGTTCTTTAAAGCTCTAATTTGGTTCAAATGAGTATGGTTTTGACAAAACAATACATTAAAAACTGAATAAAATTGTGTATGACGTCATCAAAAAGGATTAAAGACGTTGCAGGACACTGTATCATAAAAGATGGCTTTTTAGAGATGCCATGGGCAGAATGAGTTGATTCTTTTCGTATTTTTATTGATCATTGAACAATGCCCTTTTAAAAACAATTTGTTTTGTTTCGTAAATATGTCATTTGAATATTTTACAAATAATGAAACTCCTTTTTGCAATATTCATAAGAAAGATAGCGCATAAAAAGGCGTAGCAGATACCTTTTGTTACACGACTCAGAGTATGAAGAATTAGTGATGCTACAATGGAAACTGCTACAAAGAGCCGCCAGATTAGTCATAAAATGGAGCACAAAGCTGACGTTTTGAACTTGTGTTAGTCTTACAGATGTTTTGTTCTTATTCGCCGACGAGATCACTGGCTGGTGGTACCTTTATTTTAAAAATGTGCGAATTTTGATGTTTTTATTGTATTTTTCTTTATGATGTACGGAAGAGAGAAATGTTGATTTTGCTACAATTGATGGAACAATAAAGCGGTATCTGCTACCTACTGGGGTATGAAAGTATGAGAGATTTCCCAGCCCTGGGTCAGCATTGCAAACATTAAACCAGAACCCGTAGCTGCGCACAAGTTCAGCTCCCACGGGGCGTCTGGTGTGCTGCTGGTTTTCGGGAAATGTTACACCGGCTTAATTAAAACCGCGGAGCCACAGCAACGGCACCGAGCAAGTACTGAAAATTGCATTTGTCAACAGAAAAAATACCATAAGATTAAGCATCACACCAATTAATCCCAAACTTTTTGCTGGATCATGCACAGCACCACCGCGTCTGTTTCAAAACAAAACAAGGCACCCTTCCTTTCTTCAAAGCTCAGTCTTTTATACCAATACACAGGAGAACCAACTCATCTGCGACAACATGGCGACTGTTTGTCGCGTTTCCCCACGCAAAGAAGCACCCTCCCTGTTCTTAGGCAAATAGACACGGGGTTTGCCAAAGGGGACCAGCCCAGGGGAGAGTGTGGGGCGGGATTCGGACAGAGGCGAGGAGTCCAGCACACACATGGGTGGATGTGACGAAAACATCGCACCCATCCACCGAAAACAAGTCCTAGAAACCATGCGTGAAAATTGAGGAGTGAATAAATAGCCTACGCCTTCCTTTGGATCACTAGTGGAGCCTGGAGGAGTAATGAATTGATTTCTTTAGTCAGCTGATTACATTATTTTGCAAACAGCTTCCCGAACAAACTACCAAACGAAAAAACAAATGACTCAGAAGTCAACATGTTCTTGTATTCATACTTTTTCGTAAACGACTGTCCCTAAAATAAGGTTTAGCAAATAATCCCACTAAAGCCAGTGCTGAAGAAATAATTGCTTGCCTCCGGAGCCAGACGGAGAGGATGAAGTGATGGAATGATCAGAGTGACTGTCGACACCCGAGAGCACCTGTGTCCGGTACAGCCAGCTCTCCTTACCGACTTCATTAACTCACAGCCGGGGCGACAGAGCGGCGAACCGACCGCACTGCGCAAAAGCTCAGTACATGTTCGATTTTACAGTCATGTCTCCATGACTCCATCATCGCGATTGTCTGTACTGAGTAATGTCACCCACCGACATGTTCAACGCTCAAACAACGACTCTAAAATCCAACTTACTAAACCCAGTGTAAACGGAATGTCAACTATCAGGTAAACATATTTTTGACTCGGGTCTTTGCGTCACAGGATGGATCAACATTCCAGAGTGGCCTTGGGAGTATCATAACATCCGACTTCTGCACGCATTGCAGTGGCAGTGCAGGGAGTGCAGGGGGCAGCTCATGCGCCTCGGACTACTAGCTTGATCTGAGACTTACCGAAGCTATCAGCTCTGCCATTATCATCAGAGGTTGTTATCAGTTTTATCATTGGCTTTATCATTAGTGTGAACTCGACTCTCTGTGCACAGCGTCCCATCTCGCCACTGCTCTTTGGCATAGTCGATGAATCTATTGGCACATTCGACCCGAGAACAGATGAAAAGGCTAAACAAATTGGACTTAAACGTAAGCCGATTCCCCCTCCCCTCCAAGTTAGGCTGAAGCCCGACGGGATAAGGGAAACGTAATATCGAATCATAACACGGATTTTCTTCATGCCGAGGCCTTATAAATAACCGAGAAATGAATTGCCGAGTCCAAGCCTTCCAATTGCAGCTACACAATTTATTCCATTCATTTCTTTCGGCAACTGAGACAAATTGGTTTCGCAAACCGCAATCTCGGGTCTATGCACTCTAAGGAGAGTAACCGGACTGAACCGGTTTCGGAACCGGCTCGACCGGGGCTCCGTACAGATCCCTCCAGTATCGCCCCTCGATGATAAACATTTCGTCATGTCGCACGTCAGTGGAAGTCGTCCAGTGGCCGGAAGAGCGCACACTGCCGGCCGCAGGGTCACCATCACGCGCCCTTGCCTCCAGATGGGCACCCAGCGGCTCCATCCTAGCACCCTGCTCCGGCGCCGACCGGACAAAGACCGCACTACGGCCTGGGCCGGCAGCGACGAGGCACGTGGTACAGATATGCCGACCGGGCCGGGCCGGGTCGGGTAGGACCGCGTCGGTGCGTCCTCGGTCGGTTTAGACCGCACCAGAGCAGCAGGATGTATCAATTGAGTGGTTTCTAGCCGAGCCATGTTATGAGCTACAGCTGGATCGATAGCCATCAATCACTTGCCACGCAATAGAGGTTAACACGGGCTTCCGGAGCCCCGCCTTTGTCAATACATTGAACTTGGATGGATGGTCTCAAAGGTGGTATTCACTCATGACAAGACTCCACACCAATCTCGCTGAGATACTGTGGCTACATTTCAATCGGACCTAACTAGATAAGAGCCTGCCCCGGAGAGACTTCCCGAGCCACATCTGCTGAGACTGCCGGCCAGCCACAAATCGATAGAGACACTGCATCCCGCATCAACAAAATCTGATCGGGGATCGGAGACCGAACGGCATTTATCAATAACCGGGCCTGGCTGCCAATAAAATCTGCTGAAGAAAGCAAGCAGCTTGATCTTATAAAGCGATTCAATAAACGTCAATTACGTGTCGATGTTGTTGTAACAGAAAGAGAAACAAAGGCAGGTGCATTCGAATGTCGGAGCCTCAAACTAACGTTAAACCAAAACAGGAAAGGAATCCAACACACCCTACAAACATGCGGAGGCTGGATGAAACATCAATAACGCACCATGAACATCGATCAGTGCTCATATATCACGCTCACGCTCGTTCGACAAGGCATTACTCTACAAATGCGCACATCTTCCCCACACACTCAATATCCTAAACACCCACTTCAAAGCACCGAACTCCCACGCGCCTTTCCCCTATCACCCACCTCTTCCCCTCAGCACGTGCTCCTCTCCCCATCCCTCCTCCCCTCCCCTCCACTGACCTGTCGAAGCGAGCCGCCGCGCGCAGTGCCCTGCCTCGAGTGCTTCTCTGTCGGGTGTGAGGCGGCGTGCGGCCGGTGGCCGGCCGGCGGCGAGCACCGGCGCGCCGCCTGGGGCCAGCAGCGGCGCGGCGCCGCGCCGCGCCGCCCTGCCCCCGGCGCGGCGCAGACCGGCAGAAATCGTTACGGCAGTGGCAGCAGTGGCGGCGCCGGCGGCCCCTGCCGTGGAGGCACCCCGCGCGAAGACGGTGGGGAGACGAGGGAGACGAGGGAGAGGCGGGGAGACTAGGGAGAGGGGTGGGGAGACGAGGTAGAGGCCGGGAAACACACGGCGCCCTGCGCGGATGACGCAGGCGGCTGCCGGTAACCTTGACAGCAGTGAGTCGCCGCCGGACGGAGCTGGAACAGTGACCGAGCTGGTGGTAGCACACCAGGTCTAATAGTCGCTCGGCCCGTGTAATCCAACACCAGAGTCGGTCGTGGGGATCACAGGGGCCGACACGAACGCATTAGTGTCGGGTAGCCACATGTGTGACTGCCTGTTGTATTCCTGGGGCTCGTGAAGGCTGATGGATCGGTGTCAGAAAAGATGACTTCAATCTGATGCGCAGAGGCAGAGACCATCTCCGTGCCAGTTAAAACATTAAGCAGCTAGCTTCCTTGAATTTCATTAATTTTTCATTCATTCTTGACGTGCATCAGTAACCAACTCTAATTAAATAGCCGTCTTCTAGAAAGACAATTGGTAAGATTACCCAGGCGCTATTTCAGTGACAAACTTGGCGATTTGGTGATGGGTCTTACTTTGATAGGCCCACTGGAATCCCGTAAAGGAAATTGCTGATTAAAACCGAGCGTTTTCGCCGTCCGGAATGCGGTCGCCGCCACTGTACTGCCGATATTTAGACCAAAGCGACCTCTCTGGCATTCAGCCCAGCCAGTAGCAAGTCTCTAACCATTGTAAGTTTGCCGCATTTCAGACGCTTACAGAAAGGAGAAGGGCGCGGCTTTTGGGATTGAATTTGTCGGCAGAGGATTGTAAAAGTTTTGAATGAATGTTTACATCAACACGTAGAATTGCGTCCAGGTTGACAAGTAGTTAGTCGAGTGCCACAGCTGCAACAATGGGACAGTGCACGCAATCCAAGCTCTTTGGGCGGAAAAGTCTGTATGCTGACATAATCCGAGAAATGGCTTAGTCTAGAAGAGAATCGGTACGAAACATTCCCAAAAGCCCAACGCCCGTCCTACAATTTTCAAATAGTTTTACGTAAAGACGTTCTTATATTGGGCGGGCAACAGGTCTAGGGTCACATCAAACAAATAATAAGCTTCGCAGTTTTGGTAATGCATAAATGTGAACCAAATCAACATTTAAATAGGGGAAAAATTGTTACATATCAAACATTCTACGATGCATGATCGATATAACCCTATCACTCGAAAGTCGAAATGCTCCCAGAATCCATGCAGCGCATGCTTCCAACTTTTCGATCTACTAGACTCCTGTTATCTCCGCCCTGCTGTGAAGTTAGTCATTTTCCCGAAACTGGCGACTACATGGAGTGTGGCTGCTGGAGTTGACAGACCGGGGTGACGGGTGGCGGGCGGGTGTCCCGACTTGAGTCGCCCCCACCGCCGCCCCCACCGCCGCCACCGCCGCCGCCGCGCCGCCACGGGGCCATTTTCCGCTCCGCTGGTCACCGGCTATTGGGTGTCACGTGACTGCTGATGTCATGCTGACGTCAGCAGCACAGGGTTGTGTGAGAATGCTGCAGTGAGTTGCCGCTGGAGACAGAGCTGCGAAATTTGAAATTTATTTTTATGTTAATGGTAGGTTATCGAGAATAATTATGGTGCATACTTGACAGTTGACATACTACTGGTCACAAATGAACCGTAACAAAAAAGAGTTGTCATTTTGCGTTATTACTTCAGTCGTTAATTTACCTACCAAAATAACATCACAACAATAGTAACAAACAATGACAAATGTCACCATGAGAACTCTTCCCTACGAAATATTGTGTGGGTTTGTGTGCTTGTGCTTAGGATAGATGAATAAATGAATTACATTTAACTCACTAGGTTATCTATCATATGACATTTTTATGAATAAGGGAAAATGAGCATGTGGTCATCGAATTGACATCGGTCTTGCCTTGCCTTTCTGTAGACTTCACATTCTCGGAATGCGTCCAATTCAATGAATGTCTTCATGGGTAGGTAGATGTGGCTGGATGCATCATTTGTGTTCGATTATAACTATGACATAAGGCACCATAACCTGACGTCAAGTAACAAAAGCTTTTTAAAAAACATCACAGATGTAATGCGAAATGATATAAGCAAAAACAAAAAGCGAAAGAGGTTTCTCAAAAACATCACTGCAAGGAGCATGCAAAAACCACCACTTTGCCAGCTTCCTGCAGTTTTATATTCCGGCAACCCAGGCAAGTGGTGACTTATAAGCCTTAAGACTTATCCGTTTGTGTGTCCCACTGTGCCAGCGGATGGGGGAGGGGAGAGGGGACGCCGTCCCCACATTCCTCACTTGACCGCCGGTACCTCGATAGTGTTATCTGGGTCAATAGCGCCTGCAGATCACAGCGATAGCAGGCAGGGACATCGCAGGGGCGGTGCGCCGTGGGCAGGGCCGATTCTAGGACCGGAATAATACTTCACCTTCTCTATTATTTAGCACGAATCTCCCATGTCATACATTTAATAAGAGGATACGAATTATTTGACAATTTATGTAACTCGAGAATTGTAACACATTCCAATTGAACATTCGGTCACGTGAACCAATCACAGATATTACAATTTACTGTGTGCTCACTGCTAAACATGCTGTGAATGATGAAACTCATCAGCAGTCTGGCAAATAAAATAGAACTGGTGAAAGATGAACCCATGACCTGGAAATTATGTTGGTATTTATGAATTATGAAAGTTTTTTTCTTCTTCTGAAACAGGATGGATGATAAAGTCAACTGATGTACAGGTACCTACAGGTTGATCATAATGTACTCACACACAAATATATCTTTTAAAGTGTTCACGCTATTTTAGGAAGCTCATTTCGTAAATTAAAACGTTTGTGTATGTATATGAAATAACATATGGGTGTACTTATACAAATTCCGAAACTAACTTTGAAGCTTGATATGCATGAGTGGTATATAGCTGGATTCTTTATAGCTATATATAATTATAAACGGTGTTCCAATATGGTCTTCATACACTCTGAGCAGCGCTGAAGCGACGGCCACTTTCAATTTGGAAGCATTTAGTTTGTTAAACGTTATGCTTGCGCTTTCACACACTCATCCGAGCCCCCTCCCCCCCCCCCCGGCCCCCGCGGCTGGCCGTACGCCCCCCTCCCTCCCTTGCCCACCAGACGCGCCCGGACAGAGCCTCAGGCTAGGTGATTATGCCGGTAGGGGCGGCAAGGGTGAGGGCATTCAATCTCTGTTCTGCACTCAAATACACAGGAATCGAGCAGTGCGCTTTCACTGATGCGTTTGGTTGTTCTCCAATTCGTCCTTACAGTTCGGTTTGATTCAATTATCAACTTGAAGAGCCAGACTGACGATTTAAAGACAGTCCACCTTCGATGCTGTGAACTTATCCATCTAGAAGTATTTCATCGCATCTGTGATGTATATTGCCTTGAAATCATTACGAAGAACTCCAAATATCGCAAACCATTCGGCTCAATGCAAACTAGTACGAGGAGCTGCTCATAGGCGGCGGAACGATTTGAGACAAGGGGGGCACCATGGCTCAAGGAGCCAAACCTAGGGTACCCCCAAATCCTGTTTTCTCATCGGATTTAGGCCACTTGTTTTTCGTCACAGCCCTGACACGATGATTTTTTTTATTTTTTTTTTACTAAACGAAAATGGCAGTTCACCCCCGTATGCAGGGGTGTACCTAATTTTATATCTCTTTGTAGGGGCATATGCAGCCACCCACAATCCTGAATTATGCCCCCACAATGATGAAAAAGCACCCACAAGTCTTTTACAAGGCTGCAAGCGTCCTTTCGAGAGCACGGTGCCCTTCGCATGCTCTAACGGCCTCCTCCTGACCGTCTCGCGTTCATGGATAGCGTTTTTAATCACTCGGCGCCCTTCTGGGAGAATGGCGCACTTTTGACAGCACCGCGCCATTCTCATGGTCTAACGGCGCCCTCCTGACCGTCTCGCGTCCTTAGGTCTCTGTTCACCGTGCATCCCTCGACTATTCGGCGCCCTTCTGGGCTCTCAGCGCCCCTGAACCACATATAGCGTTTTCAATCACTCGGCACCCTTTTACGAGAATGGCGCCCTTTTCATGATCTCAAGGCGCCCTCGTAACCATCTGGCGCCCCCACGTCCCCACCAACGTAGCACTACTGACTGTGCGGCGCCCTTCTGGCCTCTTAGCGCCCTTGGACCACATAGCGTTTTCAATCACTCGGCGCCCTCCTAGGAGAATGGCGCCCTTTTCATCGTCTCACGGCGCCCTCGTAAGTCGTAACCGTCTGGCGCCTCCACATTTGGTGCCCCTCCTACTGGATGGCGCCTCTCTACATATTTTTTACGTCCTTCCGGTCAGTTTCCACTTTTAAGCGTGTATTTGCTTAGTCAGACACGTCACTTGAAGCGCCATTCGGCTAGCAATGTTATCAAATTCGGTGTTAATTTAGGCTCCCACATAAAGAATATCTATCGCGCCCCAAAACGGCCTGGCGCCGGGTGCCCCTACAGCTGGGCACCCACAATCATTTTAGGAAAATTACACCCCTGCCCGTATGTGTGGTTAACTTTAAGCTGATCCTCAAGTACCTATGTGTTTGTCTCTTCCTTATTGTCGTTTGATAAATTCCATTTATCCTACATGTATAATTCCCAAGAAGCCATCGCAGTACTAATCAGTGGCGAATCCCAGGGTGGAGGTCACATGGGTCATGACTTAGGGCCTGGGGTCACCACATGCCTGCCAGGAGCACCACAGGCCCGCCAGGGGTGCCAAAGGCCTAGCAGGGGCACCACGGGCCTGTCAGTGGCACCACAGGCCTGCCAGGAGCACCATCGGCCTAGCAAAAGCACTACAGGTCTTCCAGGGGCACCACAGACCTGCCAGGGGCACCAGAGGCCTGTCAGGGACACTATCGGCTTCGCAGGGGAACCACCGGCTTCGCAAGGGCACCATGGGCCTGTCAAGGGCACCACAAGCCTGTCGTTGGCAATTTAGGATTGTCAGAGGCACCACAAACCTGTCAAGGGCACCTGCGTTCTAACAGGGGCACCACAAACCTGCCAAGGCCCAGGGACACCACAGGCCTAGCAAGGACACCACAGGCCTGTCAGGGGCACCACGGGCCTGTCAGGGCCCATGGGCACCTAAGTCATGTCAGGGCCCACCGTAAGCTTGTCAGGGGGCAGGGTAGGTAGGTACCACAGTCTTTCCAGGGGTACCAGCGGCTTAGCAGGGGCACCAGTCATCACATGACTAACCAAAAATAAAGAAAAAAAAACTGAAAATAGGGCACCACCAAAATTAAGTGGCCGAAATCCGTTGAGGTTTTAATTTTGGGCATAGGTAGGGGCACCACTTCGATTCATGAACCTCCCCTTAGAGTTTTCCCGAATCCGCCCCTGGTACTAATACATCAAATTTAAGGGGGGGGCACCTTGCTATTGGTGCCCCCCTTGCAGAATTCAAGGGGGGGGGGCACGGTGCCCCGGTGCCCCCCCCCGTTCCGCCGCCTATGGAGCTGCTCATAGATGGCTCTGCTATCGACCGCCTGAAGGTAGGCTGTACCGCTGGACACGCGGTGAAAGGGAGCGCCGCGGGCGGTGTGCTGCAAGCTTCTGACGGCAGAACAAAAGTTTTCATTTGATATATTTGTAAGGCTCGGCTTATCTCAGTGACAGGATAGAGTGCTATTTAATTTATATAATGATATTGCTTTGATAGCATTTATCACATAGAACTACCGTGACTTTTCAATGAAATCTCCTTCATGCCTCTGTGATATATGGCGATAGGAAACAAGAACCCATGCATAATGATAATAATCAGATCAGTCATAATTAAGTAAACTATGATTTAAGTTGATACAAAATACAGATGCCTTTTAGAGGATTTCTTAAGCTCATTCTCAGCTTACGCCGGCTACTTATACCGATATGGAATTATCATCTCGAATGAAAATATCAGCACCCTGTTAAAGTCTTGCGGTCCGGTAGTTTAGCTGCTGCCTGTCTCATCTGACCGTACTATCTTTTGCTGTTCATTCAGTATCTCTTCCCTATAATCAAACTTTCGTGCGTTTGGTGACACAATAGTAGTCTTTGTTTTTACGGAAGCAGAACGTTCGACTAAGCAGCGTGCTCATACACAGTTCCCGCATTGATGCAAGTGATTATATTCCGGCATCCCCGGTCCCCAACACTCCGACACCGGTGGCCAACTGATCTACAGCAAACAGAAATGCGGCGACGGTTCCCCGTGTGGCCTGGACACATATCCGGCCGAGAGGCCCACCCGGGGACGCTTTGGCACCTGATGCCCCGGCCAACACACACACACACGAACACACACACGCACACACGAGCCCATATTGCACGGTGGCGAGCCGACCATTCCTACTAACGCGGCATCGCTACCTCGGAGGGGTTCTCTGCGTCGGCGAGAGTCCACACCAGTTCTGGACACACCTCTCCCACCAAACGACCGAACACTCCACCTGGGGACTGCGCGCGAGCCGGCACTGGCGCTACACAAACAGGTCTAGCAATCTGGCGCTCTGAGAGCGTCACGAGATCCGCGTCCGGTCCCGAGAGAAGCCCCGGCCGCGCCGCCGAGCCATATCACAGCGCCGCTAGGGGCGACGGAGCTCGTTACACGCTGGAAACCGGACGCAGGTCGACCGGCGGCGACATTCGCGCTGAGCAAACGGGGCCTGGGCGCGTGCGCGCGAGCCGCCGCCGAGATTCTATTGCTGTCGGAGCTTAGAGCCGTTGGGCAGCGTTCTGCCGAGAGGAGCCGACCCAGCGGACTGCCGATATCGCGGCAGGTCGGACACTGCCGGCCAGGCAAGCGGGGCGGAGTTCCGCTCAGTTCCGCGCGGAATGCGGATGATCAGATGACCGAGCGGCGCCGCCAAACCTATGGACGCTGGCAGGTGCTCCAAACAAGATCACAACTGGAACACACGTGTGCTGAAAACAGCGCGCCGACTGGAGAAAACAGCCATCCAGTACAAAGATACACAACGAGAATGAGGGTGATTGTAAACGAATGTCTGCGAATATGGATAATGAAAAATACTATTTCGTTGCGCTGTGCGCGTAACCCTGCCATTTTCGATGGCTCTGTGCAATACTGATGTGTCGGCAACGATTGTTGCACACTGCTGCTTGTGGAAGCGGCCGTGCTCGCCTCGGCAAGCGATTGTGCAATAAGTAGAACACATTACACACGCCAATGCACCGTACCCTGTGATTGTCCTTCCATGCAGCTCTGCAGAATAGACTAGCTACCAAACGCGACGGCCGGCACGCCCGCGACCCACACAAAGCTCATTTGAGATCGTTTGTACATGGAGCCGGTAGCGATGTGCGGGCAATGGAGCTGTTCCGTCGCCTCATGCTCGCGAGTCACGGCAAGCGGACAAAACATAGAGTAGCGCCGAAATTACGCCTTTGACATACATAGAACAACGCAGTGAGCAACACAATGAGAACAATATCATGAACATGAGATCAATATCATGAACACGAGATCAAGACAACGCAATAAATCGATTGGGCAAACGATAGCTCTTCGCAAAAAGCATCGATAAAAATGAGAACACAATTCAGACTGACTAGCGTCACAACCGACATCGCTTCGCGAGTTTCTGCTATCGAACTTGATGAGCAACGAAGCAGCTCGCCCCTTAGGCCCGCGCTGGAAGTCTCTAATATCGCCCTCGCTCCCCTCCCAACTGTCTCTAGAACGCGCCGAACCGTGCGTCCAAATGATCGGGCTTGAGGCGCTCCAATCCCGGTGGCGGCGCGTACCCGGGGTGGTGGTACCCCGGCGCGCCGTACCCCGTCGGATAGGCGTACCGCGGCGGCGGCATGTGCAGCCCGGCCGCGTACGGCAGCGCCCCGTACGCCGAGTACGGGTACGGACCGCCGGTGGTACCGAGCTCGGCCGCAGCCGGCGCCGGGCCGGGACACGGGCCGCCGGCGCCGGACGCGGGAGGCGACACGGCGCCGCCGGTCAGCGCGGCCACCGAGAAGTTTGAGCTCGGCTGACCGCCGGAGTTGTACGGCGCCGGACAGTAGCCGTACCCGGCCGGGGTCGGGTACGGCGCGCACAGCCGGCCGTACGGGTCACCGGGCGGAGACGGGGCCACCTCTAGGGGTGGTCGTACCGGCGGCGGTGGCGGCGGAGGGGCGTGACGAGCCGGAGCCGGCGCCATCCCCTCACCACCGCCCAGACTGGGAATCTGATCCACCAGCGACTCCAGGTCCGACAGAGACTTAGTCGCCAGATCCGCCTTGCTCGCCGGCGGCTGGTGCTGCGAAAAATCGATCGCCCCCGCCGGAGGGCCGGAGGGGTAGTGCGCCGGCGACTGGCGGTCGCTCGCCGCCGGCGGGCGCCGCTGCTCGCTGGCACCGGGGCTCGTCGAGCGCGACGGCTCCTTGTCAGGGGTCCTGGTAGCCGGGGACGCTGCTGGAGGAGGGGTGACTCCAGCGGGTGACGCCTGCCCGCTAGTCCCGGCTCCAGAACTGAGAGGAGCTGGACTGTGACGGTATCCGACCGGTGTCGCCGGCCCAGCTCCGGGTCCAGCTCCGGATCCGGGTCCGGGTCCAGGCCTGGGTGTGGCCGCAGGTGCCCCGTGCCACGGCGGCGGCCCGCTGGCCGGCGGGGTGAAGTGCCCCGCCGCTGGGGAGGCGGGGTATCGACTGGCTGGGGAAGCCGAGTACTGTCCCGACGGCGATTGCAGCCGCTGTCCCGGCGGCGACTGGGACTGGGACTGACGACTGGACAGCAGCTGAGTGTACTGCGGCGACTGAGCCTGTGACTGCGCGCCGCTCTGGGCTGAGGGGGACGGTGGGAACCGTGCTCCGGGCGACTGGCTCGGCGGCAGGGGATGCGGAGTTGACAGCAGCTGAGTGTACGTCCCACCGCCCGGCTGCAGCTGCGACTGTGGGGCTGTCGGTGACGCCGAGTATTGCCCCGGAGGAGAGTGGGTGTACTGCCCCGGTGGCGAGGCGCTGTACTGGGCCGCCGGTGACGGCACACACTGGTCTCCCGATGACGGCGGGTTATACTGACTGCCCGGCGACTGAGTGTAATGGCTCGCCGGTGACGGAAAGTACTGACTGGTGGGGGTGGGTGAGGGTGTGTAATCCCCAGCTGGTGACTGGCTGCACCGCCCGGCCGCCGCCGAGCCGCCGTACTGGCTGGACGGGGGCAGCGGGTACGGCCCTGACGGCGGCCGACCGTCCGATCCCGGCTGGCCGTACTGGCTCGGCGTGCCCTGCTGATCGCCGTACTGACCCGCTGATGGCTGCTCGGCCGGCGGCTGGCCGTACTGGCCACCCGGGCCGTGTCTCCCGTGTGGCGGGGGACCGTACTGCCCCGGCGGGGTGGGCTGGGGCTCGGACGGCGCCTGACTGTACTGACCGGTCACCGGGCCGTGCTGATCGCCGGCTATCTGACCGTACTGACTGTGAGAGGGCTGACCGTGCTGGTCACTCGGTGGGCCATACTGGCCGGTCTGTGCCGCGCCGTGCTGGTCCGGGCCTGGCTGACCGTATGGCCCCATCTGTGAGTAGGGCGTGCCGGTTTGGTACTGATCGCCCGGTGCCCCGCCGTAGTGTTCCCCTGGTCCGTATCCTCCGGACGGCGGTGTCATGTACGGACCGGAGCCGGGACCGCCCGTGGGCGGGCCGTACTCGGGGCTGTACTGTCCCGGGTACGGCCCGCCGTAGTGTGCCGGGGGCTGTCCGTACTGGCCGGGCTGTCCCCACTGTCCGCCGACCATGCCAAACTGTCCGCCGTACTGCTGGTACTGCCCACTTCCGTACATCCCTGGCTCCTGCTGCGGCCCTCCCTCGTACCCCGGGTACCCTCCTGGGCCGAACCCAGCCCCGCAGCCGCCCACACCCGGACTCGACTGGTCCATCGGGTAGCCAGGCGCCGCCTCTCCCGCCGCCTCTGTCTTGCTCTTCTTTGGCCGACCTCTCTTCTTGTTCGGGTCAGCCGGCGGCGCTCTGCGTGGCTTGGGCGCCGTCTCAGGTAACGGCACACCATTCTCATCTAATCGAATCTTGCGGGGTCTGCCGCGCTTCTTCTTGATGGGCACGGTGAGTCCGGCGGCGGCTGGGTCACCCGGCTGGCTGCCCGGGGGTACGCCCTCCGCGCCGTCGGCTGTCTCCGAGGGCGGTGTCCGGTCCTGGCGGGCCGCCGGAGGTTTGGGAGGCTCGAAGGTGAGCTCTGACTCGGCTGGCTCAGGAATCTCGCCGTTCAGATGGTCGCGGAACTTCTTCAGCGCCGTGTAGAAGGGCACCTTGTCAAGGGCGCGCGGCAGCTGAGCGCACCGCGCGCTTGAGGAGGGCATCACCCAGATGTTCTGAGGGCGAAAAGAGGACGGGTGGGACATGTTGGGGTAAAACGAAATGAAATTAAAAAAAAATCGCTCTGAAAGTGTTGCTAAGTACTTAAGAACACAACACTGTGACAGCTCTGACAAATGACAGATATAGCTATGCAAGGGAGAAACAAACCGTTTCGTTTCTGGCGCATTTACATAAAATTTCAACCATTTTAGACATAGGAGGTTAAGCGGTTTAAATAAAGATAATTATATTTGCTTGCATGAAGGCCTGGTCACTCGTCATGCTGAATGTTTTGCATTTCTTTTGCCTTAAACACCACTTGGTGTTTTGAAAGCGGGATGATTTTATGAATATTTCTATGTTCAATTCAAATCAATCCCTGGACGCATTCCATGCTGAGGCAGCAGCCAGTTGGTGAAATTTTAGTGACGAAGCAAGCATGCAGCGCGTTCAACGAAAACTTACCGTCTGCGTGCCTTCGATTTTCTCTGGTTGTTTGCCGAAGAGAAATTCCTTCTTCCCAGAAAATATTTCGAAGATGCCTTTGCCGTTAAAAACTGCTATCTTTGGTTTAAATAATTGAAGCTTCTGAAGCAGTATTTTCGCACCTGAAAGAGACCAGTTATCAGTTAATTACCATTGACCCAAGCAGCTCAGTCTTTTGACTTTGCTAACTGTCGTATCTTTGGATTCTGAAGCGGCCCAATCTTTTCCGCTCCTCACCGGTATTTATATGCATGCACTGAGCTCTGAATGTTTCTAAGCGGTACCTTACGCACATTCTCGAATAACACACTAAGTGTACTTTGACCAGGGTGAGCGCGCACTAACCTTCTTTGATCTCCTTGCGCGTGAGGTCCTGGCTGCCCTTGGTCGTGCGGGACACGATGTTGGTGAAGCCGATCTTGAGGTCGATGAGCCGGAAGTCATCCTCTGCACCCAGCGGCTCAGGGATGAGGCCGGCTAGGTAGGCGCACTTCCCTGAGGGAGGCGGAACAGGCGGGCCGGACACGACGTTAGTGGAAGGTGGGGATACGGCGGCGAAACACGCCAGGTACGCGGCTGTTAAAGCATACCACCCAACCGGACGTTCAAAGAAAGGTATAGGGCGTCTCTCTTGTGTTCTCTGGTCGCAATGATTCTGATATAGCGAGAAACAAAAAGGAGATCGCGGTAAAAGGTTTCATATAATGTAATGAATATAAGAAAAGCATGTCAAAGCCAACCTAGAATAAAGCTGCCAATCGAGGAATCAATCAGAGCGATATTTTAAAAATATATTGGTTGGATTTTCGATGGTTGGAAATGAAATAACGTACGGGAACACAGCCCTTTTATCTTTATATTCATATGGGTTGCAGTCCTGAACATGACTTAATGCGTGAACTCTATAGCCCTTTTATCTTTATATTCATATGGGTTGCAGTCCTGAACATGACTTAATGCGTGAACTCTATGAACAGTTTTACGAATGATACCGAACTATGAACTACGGTGACTTACAGAAGTGGTTTCCAGGCCCGGCGTAATGGTGCCCCTTGAACGCCGCCACCAGGCCCGGGTTAATGCCGATCTGAAAAACGAACGATCAAGGTCAAGTTTTGTTCAATAACAACCGGTTCACGCACCCGTGGGAAGCCTTAGGAGTTGCGATTTCATCATTAGTGAGATACCTAGCGACTACCGGTGCAATTTTTCATTAAAGTAACGCTATTTACATCGTTCCCATATAGCATATGCCATGCGGTACAGTATAACTTCAGGCGGACACTGTAGTGACATCTAGCGGCAGCGGTATAACATAGGTTTGGAGTTGTGCGGTACAGTATACCTTCAGGCGCAAACTGTAGCGATAGGCATCTAGCGCTACCTACATGACAGCTACACGTGAAATTCGGTAGGGCATTATTGTGAGCGCTCTCTCACTCAGCACACGCTCTCACAGTTACAGATGCTCGCAAGTGTCCTCTCACACCCAGGGTCTCTGCCCGTGCCTCCCGATGCAGCCAACCTTTCAGAGCGAGCCTGCAGCCCATTCTACTCTTTCGCTCCTCCCCTACACCCTTCGTCACGACTCGAACCGTTTTCAGACCAATTCGGTGGTATCGGCGTTCGCTGGAAGACTAGCGATCATATGATTATTGACAAAATTAAGGGCTAGTGCCGCCACTTATACTTTCAAGCTATTCCATGAGTGTCGCATCCATTTATTTTCGGCAGGTCTGTGATTCGGTATAGATGTGAATGATATATCATCGCCCAAATCTGGGTGTCTGCGAGCTCGTTAAAACGCAGCCTTATCGCCAGCGAGCGCCGAGTCCGCAGCACGGTCCCCGAGGAGAGAGGAAAGGAGCAGCTTCTGTGTCGGCTCGAGCCCTCTCTCCTCTCACTCCAGCGAGCCAGCGTGGCAGCAGCTCCCCCTCTGCCCCTCCCCTCCCCCGCGGCTGTCACAGGCAGCTGCAGGGACCCCTGGGGGAGGGGAGGGGGAGGGGAGAGGGCCGGGGGAGGGAGGGCTTTGATGGCGGCCTCGGCTGCGCAGCTGGAATATCCGGCCTCGAGTGAAGTCTCGACCGGGCAGAGCACGGGAGGAGGGAGAGAGGGGCTCTGAGCGGCGGCCCGGCCCGACAGCCATTAGCGATGAAGCTGGGGAAGGGGAGGGGAGGGGAGGGGCGGGGCGGGGGCGCACGGCTGGTAGACATTCACAGAGCTCTGACGGCTGGGTTGCCTCGGGGCTGGGCGCAGCAGCGTTCAACAGGGCCACATAGACATAACTCGCGCTTCACTGACGAAGCCCGTGAGCTACGGAGATTCACTGGCATCTACTACTATGTTTTTTTTTGCCTGATGTTCTCTGATAAAAAGGATTTCACTTGCCAGTTTCCACCAAACGCTTATCCATAAATGCCTCCACAACCCAGTGACCCGCATCCTTTGGGAGAAGCGCGATGTCTGTTACTGCATACAATATAAAAGGTCTAATTTCGGAACATTCACCATTCCCCTGTAACCCCGTTTATTTCGCCCCATGGGAAATTCTCCCCAATCTCAGGAGCCATAATTATACCAGCATACCCAAGCCAGATACCATCAGTGATATTACAGTTATTTCTATGTCACGCTGAACGCCAAAGCAGTGGCGGACTGAAGCTACCACGCTGTAACTTACATTCCAATTCGCAGTCATGAACCTGCTACCGAATGAATTATGCAGTTCCTTCCAGCGTTTAATCTGTTCTGTTCGCAAACCTACCACGTAATGGCCCCTAAATGATACAGAAGTGTGGACCCAAAGTGCGAAGGCATGCTTTGACACATGGTAACCGGGCACTTAGTTCATGCCACGCACATGCACCGATCGGTAAGGAAGAAGTGACTTGCTACAGGACACTCTTATCTGCAGCATTATGTTTCAGCCTAAATCATGGCGTAAGTAACCTTGTGAGAGAGGCTATCGTTTATGTGGCGTTACCCATCGTGCGACTATATAATTATATTTTAGTTTGCATTTTCACAATTTTGATTGGGAACGAAGTCCATATTAGGAAACTATAGTTTGAATATATATTTATAATATGATGTTATAATACTTATTTTAAAATTTGCTCATTCTTGCATTGGTACTATCTACTGCAGAATCCTTTATAACATATTTCTGATAAGAAGTTCCATTCCGCTAACAATAACTAGACAAGAATGGCAAGCTAAAGGTCAATAAACGAGATCGTATATTTTTTCTTTATATGACGATAACTATTTTTGTTTAACCTTCGCCCCAGTGGGGGGGGGGCATATGTTACCACCCTGTCGCGTTTTTTGCGTATAAATAAAAAACCGCGGCGCGTAGCGCCGCGCCGCTTGGCATAGCTTTTCGTACATCAATTTTGGACAATGTGTGAATTTTTTGACCCCAGGTTATGTCAGGTCAGGTCACCAGGTCAAGTTAACTGACCAGGCCTAAAAAAAGTTTGCAATCATGCCCAGCCTGCAGTGTTTGTCAGAAAGGTTTTAAACTTGGTGGATTGCATGATGTTATGGGCGCCTACAATTTGTATATCTCGGATTTTTTAATATTCGTGACCTAAGGTCAGGTCAGTGGCGTGACCTTACCATTATAAGTCAATGGAGAAAAATGAAAATGCCTCTAGATACGTGTGTACGCTTGGGAACAGTCCAAATAATTCAGAATCACAATTATTTGGACCACCCGTGATGACCAAGGTGTCATTTTTGCTGATAGCCTCTACAAAGGTCATCCGAGGTCATTTGAGGCTACAAACAGATTTTTGCCAATAACTCGCGATTGGAAAGAGATAGAACCCTGGTGATGGCTTTATTGTGTTTGTCTTGTTGAGACGCATCGAATGATATGCAACATGACCTTTTCCGGTTAGGTCATGACCTTGACCTGAGGTCAAATTTTCAAGTTAACCTTTCAAGGTCAAATTATAGTTCATTCAACGTGTCTCGTCGAGAGGAACACGATTCTGGCAATAGAAATGTCGTGGCTTTTTCTAGTCAAAAGTTATTGTCGAAAAACACTTTGCGAAAAAAACAGCTATTTTTGGAGTTTTTGCCCTCTGGAGGCTAAACCGTTGACCTGAGGTCAATTTTGATGATAACCTTATCGAAAGAAGAGTTCAAAAGCTATCGATTGCTTTTTTCTAGCTATCTAGCTATATATATATATATATTTCTAGCTATATCGACCATGCGTTTTTCTAGCTATCATAGTTCCTAAGATATAAGCATGTTTCCTGAAAAAATATAATGACATTTGGCAAATTTTGACATTTGATGACCTCCAGTGACCCCAATATTGCTCCAAGATGAAAAATGACCGAAATACTTTCAAACGTACGCATTGAGAGCTATCGACTGCTTTTTACCGCGTCTTTCTAGCCCTCTTAGTTTTTGAGTTAGAGGTGGGTGGCAACATATGCCCCCCCCCCCCCCCACTAGGGCGAAGTTGGCTGAGACCGCCACTGGGGCGCGGGTTAAACAGCTTATCATGAAGGGTTTGAGTCTGAGAAAGTGTTCCCCGTTTGAACGTATTTTTAGCTGAGTTGCGTTTCTCAACATGTCTGCATTTGGATGACACCATCGCCTTTTTAATGGTAACCAAGGTCACTCGACGGCCATGAAAAAAACGGAAGAATCCATTACGACGAATCTTCGTTCTTCAGATCGTATTTGAAATCGCATCATGACGCATTAGGAGGCTTTTGAGCATTACATTACATTGGTAAGGGCCTGGGGTCATAAAAAGGGTATTTGAGTGTCATCTAAACAGGAGGGAAATGAGATAATAGTAAATCGTTCAGCACAGTTGAGCGTGAACAAATTGTACCAATGCAGGCTGTTATATTCAAAAAGTGTGTAAAATGTGGCAATGTACACAAAGTTTATACGTGACAACGACCTTCATTCAAAGAAGTAACTAACAATGGTTATTGCAGGTACCGCCTTGAAGTAGTTGAGTACCTAACCAACAGTTGTTTAAAGTCTGTAATCTGCATGTACCTATTTGCGAGGGCTATAACAGGCCAAGAGATGCCCTGATAAATTTCAAACGGTCGCAACTTCTTCATTTGGAACTTTGATTCACGCAAAACGGCTCCTCAATCAGCACAATCGAACCAAAGAACTTTACATCTCGGGGCTACGGCTCTGTTCGCGACGAAATCCGTTCATTTCCTCTGCCGGTGCGCTTCAAGGCCCTCCACGAATCTGCAGATAGTTGGAGTGCGTTCGATCGGGCGCGGGGCCGCCTTTTCTGGCGACTCTTCTCCCCAGGGAAATAAGACACGGGCGACATTCCGGTCGTCGTCTAGAAATGGGACGCAGGAGACACTCGAGGTGCCCGCAGGAAATAGAGCACGGCACGACACTACTTGGGCAGGAGTGGACGCTCTTGTGAAAGAAGTAGAAGCAACTGACATAAGAATACATCATGAGCAGTGAAACTTACATAATAAATCTGCTGACCTCACTTTCATAGATGCCATTTAGAATAACGACACTTCACTCATTTTAAGACATTGCAAACCAGCAAGCTAAATGAAAACATCTCAAAGCGAAATGAAGTAAACATAAATGAGCACATGTATGGGGTTATAAAGAAAGTACAAATATTGCTTAGGCTCTAAACAGGTAAAATAAATAGCAAACAAAGCCCATGCAGACATAGGACGCCCAAACACAATATGGAACACGCACATACACACGCACATACACCGACAAACAAACTCGGACGTTGCCGAGGAGCGCACAGTGGGTGCTGCAGTTACTCACGAAGACGATGTCCAGGCCAGGAGCCAGGTGGTCGGGAAGAGTCAGCTGGGAGAGCTGCTCCTCGGTCAGACCGTTGAAACGGTCGTGCTTTTTCCGAGGCTTGTTCGGGTCAGAACTACGCACCGGAGTCTTGTACTTTGGCACCTCCATACCGGCTGCCGCCCTGCAAAAGAGTTTCCATAAACATGGGTTATGTTGTTGGCGTAATCCAGCCCAGACAACAGACACTATAAGAGGATGGTCGAGTCCAATATTCCTATGACAAGTCATGCGAGCCTGGGTAAAATAGAGCTTCCACAGTGCTGGAAGGTGACAATTTTGCGAGTGGTAAGCTTTGAGCCACTTCCGATCTTTCCTAAGTCAAACCCCACATCTTCAGTCCACATCTCTCTCATCTCTGAGCATTTACCACTACCCATCCTCTCCACTTCGCTACTCGTTCTACCTTCACTACCTTTTACTGCTCGTTCTACTCGTTCTACCTACTCGTTCTACCTTCACTACCTTTTACTGCTCGTTCTACTCGTTCTACCTACTCGTTCTACCTTCACTACCGCCACCACACACAACTCACATGGCTTCCAGCAGCTTCTTGGACTTGCGTCCGCGCTTCTTGGGGAACTGGAAGGGCAGCAGGGCGGCGCTGTCGGTGGCCGATCGGCTGCCGTCGTCGCTGCAGCCGCTGCGCGTGTCGTCGCCGACGATGGTCAGTCGGGAGGAGGCAGAGTCACCACCGGACACCGCCTCCTCGCGCTCGAGCGGCCCGTGCTGCGGCGAGAGGCCGGGCTGCAGCGACCTGACGGACAGGGGTTAGGTGTGTTATAGAGAATGGACCAGGCTGCAGCGACCTGGCAGACAGGGGTTAGGTGTGTTATAGAGGATGGACTACTATGGACGTCAAAGCCCTTGAGACCTCAACTTTTTGCGATGATTTTTAAATGCGTCAACTCTCGTTGACAATATTCTGGCAATGTGTGTTTCAGAACCTGCCGAAACTTTTATTACTGAGGCATTTTGACGCCAAACGATTATGAAAGGTACTTCTCATTCACACGTTATGTTAAATTTCACGGAACGAATCTGCTGTTTGGGTAGAGGCTACGCGCTCATGGGGCGGAGCCACGTAATGACGTCAGCGCTAAGCTCCGCCCTACCCCTCCGGCGCTCCTTGCCCGGCGACCGGTCACTCGCGTCTCGCGCTCCATTCAGGCTTGATGCTGGGCGGTAGCTGGTAGCGGTAGCGGGCGCTGGTAGATGATATTAAGAGCAGATGGCGCTGGTGGCGGGGATCGAGTATGGCCGCACGCAAGCCTCTGCCCGGGCCTGAATTGACCTTAGGCATTACGAGTGAATGAGAAGTATGTACCTTTCATAATCGTTTGGCGTCAAAATTTTAGTAATATGTAAAAGTTTCGGCAGGTTCTGAAACACACATATTGCCAGAATATCGTCAACGAGAGTTCACGCATTTAAAAATTATCGCAAAAAAGTGGGGTCTCAAGGGGTTTGACGTCCATAGTAGGCTGCAGCGACCTGACGGAGAGGGGTTAGGTGTGTTTTAGAGGATGGAATAAAGGCTGCAGCGACCTGGCAGGGAGGAGTAAAGTTTTTTATCACAGGGAAGACACCAGACCGAAGAGACCTGGCAAGAGTGGGGCTAGGTGGAACCACATCACAGGGACCAATTTGCAGCGACATGCAGCCGAATTCATAAACTTGGTAACATTTTACATCAGGGTGTATTTTACGGCCCAAGAAACTACGTACTCTTAGAAATGGGTAGTCTTATTTGGATTCGAGGGTGTAATATGCGCCAATTGTACGTTTTTGTTTGTTTTGGGCGTTATGTTACTACATCCACTTCTTAAATCATTGTCAATAATATCATACCTATGGCTATATCCGCAATCGATTTATGGAACAGTTCGGGCCTAAAATGCAACAGAATGAGTGGAAAACTGCGTCAATCGCATTTCACGTCTTTTTATGAAATCGACCGCAGGCAGAGGAAGGATTAGACGTGTTACTACACAAAATAACTAGATCAGTCTCTAGCGACATGTCAGAAATAATCTAGAGCTTAGAGATAGACCTGACAGATAATCTGGCAGAGGTTAGCTGTACTATCACGGGGAATGGAGTATCATTGGCAGAATGGGGAAAGTTATTGCAGCGGGGGAGACAGAGATGCAGCGACTCGGCGGAGTGAGAAAAGCGAGTGAGAGCTGCGAGATGGAGCAGCCTGATATCGACCCGACCTATAACCTGCTTACATATAACATTTTTGGCCCATCTAAAGTGAGTTTGGGGGCCCAAACTGTTTCGCTGGAAGTTTTCGATTGCCTTTACTCTCGTCTTTCTTTCTATGTATGCAACTATTCGTTTGAAAGTTAGACAGAATGAGGGACAGAATTTGCTTCACCCCAGCCCCCGGGGTCAGGGGTGGGGAAGGGTTGCATTCAGGTCAAGGTCATGTAAAATCAATCACGGAAAATATTTTAAGAGGCTATTTTATGGGCTTCCGGAGTCATTATAATTTTACTTTCATCTTTCCTGAACCTCTATCAGTTTATCGCTTATAGCAAAATCGATACTAGATTAATAATAAGCGCCTATGAATACTTTATGTATGACGCACCGCATGTGTCTGTAGCATTCAAGGTCATCTGAAATCAACCCTGATCTTAATCTTTTTCCAACAAAAATCCAGCATTCGTCGCCTCTTGACAAGGCGAGCATGCAACTACCTCTATTTTGCTTTTTTGAAGAAGGTCGCAAATAAAAACTTTTTTGTACTTTGAATTACTGACCCGACCTGTCAGGTCACTGACTGACCCAAGACTGTGCAAAACATCGGCTATCGTTGACATTTCGTGAAAAAGAGCAGACTCAATTTTCTGTAAAGCTATATTTTAACCCGTGCCCCGCATGGAACTTCCCGGACACTGCCACCCGTAGGGGGGGGGGGGCGTTTCCCTTTTGGAGTGGCTGTTCGAACGGTTGGGTAGCATGTCCTACCGGAGCACTCTCATCCCAGTGGGTATAGGCTCGTGTCTCTGCCAAGCACCAGTCAGTGCTCGACAAATGAATGTCTTCGCCTTATTCCAACCATTATCCCACGGCCCTGAAAGAGTCTCAAAAGAACCAATGGCCTAATTCAGAAAGATGGTATTGGGCGCTGCGAGGGCGTATACGTCCCCTAAAGGTTCCCAATAATGAAAGACGTTCCTCGCACCATTCGACAATTTTGAGATCTTAGAGTACAGTTTTTGTTGCTTAGTTTTCTTTTAATGTGAAGAAAACTAAAAAGTTTCAGCAACGTCTGACGTAATGGATAGGGCAAATAATGACCCCAAAGTCCCTTGACTTTGCCAACAAATACATCAAAATGGCGCAATCGGCTTGAATAGAAGGCTAAAATGTTGGACTTCAGCGGCATATTTTTGATGTTTTATGAAAAAAAGCTAACTAAAAGCATGCCGTTTCACCTCAAATATAGAAACCTATTCCAGTTTTATAAACGGGTGCATTTTTACGAGGCGAAGTAAATATTAATTGCAATCTCATTTGTTGCATTCGATGGGTCGGCTCCCTATGAATTCGCGGTGATCTGTTGCGTCTCTCTAGTCTCTGGGACAGTTCCTCCCAACGGGTCGGGCTCGTCCGCTGAGGCGCGCAAATCGGTGATCGACTCAGTCGAATGCCTTGCTTTATCCTCGCATCGTATGCGGTGGCTTTGCCAACAAAACAAACACTGCATTGCCTGGCTAATCCTGTGTTCCATTCACTCGAACATGTCACATATGACCCGAGCCCTACAAGTGAATGCTATTTGTATATTTCAGGTACTCACTGATGTGCCTTCACCGGTGATTCTGCATTGGCATTGTCTCCAACGTCCATCATGTTAAGCATTGTGGGCCTGAAACAAAAACAAGAAAATACGTTAAAAGACAAAACATATAAAATGAAAAGCTACTAAATCGCCATCGTCTGTATATGAAGGTAATGGTATACCATAAACTTACTACATAGGAGCTATTCCTGTGTGTTTATGCTGTGTGGCTATCATTGAAATTCACGACGTCAGGGCTTTACGAGTCCAACGGACCGACAGCGATTCTTCGTCTTCTTATATTTTACATCTTATCTCCTCTTTTTTTCAACTAAGGTCCTATGATTGACGTCCTATATCCCGCGCCCCGCTGGGCTATCCAGCCATACACGCCCTGTGGGGGGAGGGGTATATTCTGCCCTCCCCCCCCGTCTAACTTCCGAACCGATAGTCGTAGAAAGGTGGGAAAAGCGGTAATCGAAAACTGTAAACAAGGAGCCAGCTATTTGCCATTTGCCATATGCAGCCATTTTTTTGCTGAAGTAGGTCAGAGGTCAGGTCAAGGTCAGGTCAAGGTCTAAAGGGTACAAAAAGGAAAGTACATTATCGGCTTTGGAGCGCAGTTGGCGAAGAATGGACTGAGATTGATTATCCAAAACGTGTTCTCAGGCTACCAAGACCTTGGTTCTACCAAGGTTCTTTACATACCACGTCATGTAAAGGTCAAGCCAAGGTCAGGTCAGGTCACCAAAAGCGAAATATGGGTAAAACATAGCATGTGCGAAACATGTTTTACGGGTCATTTTATTCGTATAATTCAATGGGCACACCAAATTAGTGATATACACTACATTTGCATGAATTTCAGGTCAAGTTCAGGTGAAGGTCAGGTCAAGTGGGGTCAAGATTTGAAGTTGATTTGTAAGACCCGAAAAGGTGTCTATCTGATGCAGTTTGTCACGATGAATTGAATTTTTATGGGGCTATTTTGTTCCCGTGCAAGGTTATCTGAATTAACAGCAAAGTTTTTTGGTGTCTCTTCGGGTTATCCAACTCAACTTGATCGGTAATTTTACGAATAAACTTTGATGACCTCAAATGACACAAATGACGTCACACATGATGATATATTATAGGTAAAGAATTGTTAGAAACTTTGGGTGTTCCAGCTCCACAAATCCGCCTCCCCAGCGTGGGTGACCTTGACCCCTGCCGTGCCGTCGCCTTTGGTCCAAGTCTGTATTGCGGTGATAATGACTTTACAGGTGAATGAATGCTTAGTGTACCTATGCAATATCCCCCGAAACGCAACCCCGAAACTTCTGCGGTACGTTAGAAAGCACGATAAAAGTTTACGTGTTCCCTATGTCAATGATGAATATATGTTTTCACAAGTCTACAGATGAGCGATTTATTTAGCCGGCTGCCAATGCCAATGCCTGCTCCTATAATTCACATCTCCATCATGCATTTACTCAACCGCAGCTGACAACATTCTACCTCAATCATGAGCGAAAACATATTCTCAAACGATAGTATCTATTTGAGCATTGTAAGTGCAATGAATAGCCTTGCTTGAGGTTTCACCTGAATCCAAACATTATTCGTATTTCAGCACTTCTAAAGGATTTATGAGAGCACCTACCTGTAAAGATTTGACACCCATGTTCAATTTAAGCCTGCCTTAGAAGCTCCAATCACTTTTCTGTCCGTGCACCAAAGTACCAAACCTCACCTGTCATAAAATACCAAACCACTGACCTTACAATGCCCCATAACTCGCAAAATTACATGAGGTACGCCAGCTACTCACGTTTCCTGTTCACCACCGCACTTGAGCCTTGCCATGGGATGGGCCGCAACAGTCGAACCTCACTTCTGCTCCTCCGATCACATGGAGCCGTGGGAAATCTTCCCGCACAGACCGCGTGCCACCCACGGCGAACTCATGACGGTTTGCGGCCGCTCGTTGCCCGCGACTTGGCTTGTTTTGCCTCGAGTTCCCGCGCCAGGCCGTCGTCCAACTGAATCGATTCACACGCGGAAAATGGACGATTCCATTCGGCCTCCTAGGGGGAGGTCGTCGCGCTGCACCGACGAATACGCTCGGTGCTTGGAGGCCGTTAGGTGCAATATTTTAGGTACTGGGAGATTTTTTAAGAATATGCGGCATGCAACAGAACAGCCTACTCTAAGTCCTTGTACGTTTGAACTAGGTTTACTTAAAATTGAAATTTCGTATTGGCACAGCACACCCCTTAGGCAGGTACTGGCTATTGCCAAATAAATGGCCATGAACGATCAGGAAAGAAGGTAACTCAAAGCCTGATGAAACATAGTATCTTATGCCTCAGATGCATCCATTATCCGTTCGATATCGTAAACATCCGTTAACTTCACGCGATAGGGCTATCACCCGTGCGGTTGACTATCAGTAACCACTCCTGGCAAACCTGGCGGATCTGAGATGTACTAGAGCTTCAGGGCCTTACTGCAAGAGTGTGCTGGGAATCGAACAATCGAGCAATGAACAAGATCATCGTAAGTGAAACTTTCGGTGTGCTTCCAGCCTGGTGTGGGTGCAGGGTACGGTACAGCTTGATAAATTCGCTGAGTATGCTGCTGATTTCCATACCAATAACAGAAATAAATTTTGAGTTACTTGTAGGTAGGTAACCATGCCCTTCTAATCTAAAAATTATTGAGTCCCGGTCACCTCAGGTCAGGTGACCAGGTCACAAAAACCGTTGCATATTCAGGGCAATATTTTAATTATTCTCCCTCGCCCCGTTGGGGGGGCATTTTGGCCCCCCTGTGGTTTTTCCTAAATAGCAAGAAAACGGCGGCACGCAGCGCCACCAAATTTCCAGCACCTTCCTGGGCATCAATTTGACACCTTCACACCAAATTTCAAGTCTTAGGTCACCTTAGGTCAGGAGTTATTGAGGTCAAACTGAGGTCATGTTCGAGCAAAAATGAGCAAAAAACATGCAATCTTGAAACGCTCACCAAATCTACAGTTATCAAGCAATTTTAAAGTTCTTTATATGGTCTAGTAGAAAAAAAGCGGCGCTACAAAACTGCTATCTCGGATTTTCAAAATTTTTGGTATTTGACCAAAGAAAATTGAAAATTTGACCAAAAAAAATTGATTTTTTTTAGAAAAACTAGGAAAAAATCCAAAAATTTTCCGAATTTCGAAAAAACCGGAATATAACCGATAGTCCCAGCGCTCGTCTATATACATACCAAATTTCAGATCGATATCTCGTTTTTTGGCCAAGTTATAGCGAAAAAACTGTTCAAAATGATGACGTCAACTTTTTGAACTCAATTTTTAGCGATTCTAGATCACGTACGGCAAAACAAAGACCACCATTGAACTCCCCGTGACGAGCTGCATCGATTCGATACCCATTTTATGCAAAAGTATCAGCTTTAAAATTTGACCTAATTTGACCTGACCTTGACCTGACCTTGACCTGACCTTGGCCAAAAGGTGACCTAAGCTGGCACCAAAGGCTGCCTGACCCACATAATCGCATTTGTCATGTAAAATGGACCATAAAACATGTATCACACGACACTTTCATATTGTGACCCCCCGTGACCTGACCTCTGTGACCTGACCTGATATCAGTGACCTCAAATAGCAAAATATGTGTTTGAAGAACATTTCCCCATCGATGATTTTCAATGAAACGCATTTTACTCGATTTTACAACGCATTTCTTGAAATGCCTGTAAACGGTGAAAATTGGACATTTGACCTGACCTGTGACGTCATCGGTTTGACCTAGGTCACTAAAATTGGATCACAAGGTAGTTCCCCGCTGGGGCTATCCAACGCCGTTTACCGCTTGTCGCTATGTTGCGTGGTTCTCGAGATCTTAGGGGGGGCCAAAATGGCCCCCCAACCGGGCGCGTTGCTCGGCAGAGCCCAACGGGGCGCGGGTTAAATGAGCACCCAGCTAGCTCAAAGGCCAATACGCAAACACTTAAAGTGACCATCCCACCTTACCACAAGTTTTGAGTTGAGATAGCCAAATTGGGGTCCCGTGGCTTGCACTTGCCGGTTTGGACACTCACAACGTCGAGAATTGCTTTAATCCAGAGATATTTAATTTCAAGCATGCAGTTTTCAGATTCTAAGGGGCTAATGCATTTGAAATTGCATTTGAACTTAGAATTTGTGACGTCAGCGGAGATCTAACCATTTTTAAATTTTATGCTAAAATCATCGGTAAAACGTGTTGTTATATACTACTTTGTGCACTTTTAGGATGCCAAATTATATTATTGCTTCCAAATGACGTCGTAGGGACAGCGGAGGTCCCAAAAAGTAAACAAAAGTAAAAGTCATATATATTGAAAACTAGTGAATATTTTTCGGTGACGTTTGGTAAATATTCATTTTTTATATTTCCATGGACTACGGGACATCACATTTATGCCAATTCGTTAACCTTTTGGAAGGTGGGAGAGTCCCTTTAAAGTCATGAAAACCTTCTAGGCGTGCGACACTATTAAAGTTTTATATTTTATTTTCGCGTTTTCAGTGTAATCATAGGAAGACAAGCTTTGAAAAACAAGCCACTATCTATGCGCATGATAAATGTTTGCTGAAACCGGCATCCTCAGCAAAAACGTTTGTCCATGGCATTGCATAATTGAAACTGTTGAAAAAGGTATTAAGAGTCCCAAACAGAAAAAATTATCTATCAAAATTATCTATCTAAGCGGGACTTGCATGGAATATAAGCTGTTTTCACGACCGGCCCTCCGACGAGTGCACCTAATTTGACCAAATACGCACCTAACATCTTTTACTGCAAATATCTTTATTTTATGAACTTATTTCAGTATTTTAATCGATGATACTCTCTGATAATATGACAAAGCAGGCATCATATAAGCAATTAGTGAAACCCTAGCTGATAGCTACTAATAGATACACTGAACCTAATTTGACCAAATTTCCGCCTAATCTGCACCAAATGTGCACCAAATGTGTACCAGATGGCCGTCGTGAAAACGGCTGTTATTTCCTATTCCCTAGCGCATGCTTTTTGTGTCCAGGCTACTTAATATGCATCGACTACAACGCAGGCGAACGTTACATAAATTAACCCGCGCCCCAGTGGCGGTCTCAGCCAACTTCGCCCTAATGGGGGGGGGGGGGGGCATATGTTACCACCCACCTCTAACTCAAAAACTAAGAGGGCTAGAAAGACGCGGTAAAAAGCAGTCGATAGCTCTCAATGGGTACGTTTAACCCGCGCCCCGTAGGGGGGGGGCCGAAACGGCCCCCCCTGTCCTTTTCGGTCGATATCTCCTAAACGGCTGGAGATATCGCCACCAAACTTTCAGGACCCCTCTGGGCATCAATTTTACACATTGTGACCAAAAATTTTTCCAGAGGCTGTGATAGGTTGGCCACAAATGACGTCAGAGTGACGTCATGTTCTGTCATTTTCGACCGAAAAAAGACCTTCGCGAGAAGACCTGTCAGGCCTACAGCTTTGAAGATACAGAAAAATGATCAAAACATAAAAGGTGTAGAATTGACAGGGCTACAAAACTGCTATCTCGGATTTTTGAAAATTTTGAGTTTTGATCCCCAAAAATCAAAAAAGCATTTTTTTGGATATATTAGCCAAAAAATCCAAAAAGTTTTTTGATTTTCGAAAAAACCGGAATATATGTGATAGTACCTACCGTCTTCTATCTACATACCAAATTTCAGATCGATACCTCGTTTTTTGGCCAAGTTATAGCGAAAAAACTGTTCAAAAATGATGACGTCAAATTTTCAAACTCAATTTTTGGCAATTCTGGAACTCGTAGAGCAAAACAAAGACCACCATTAGACTCCCCGTGACGAGCTGCATCGAATGGATACCCATTTTATGCAAAAATATCAACTTTGAAATTTGACCTAATTTGACCTGACCTTGACCTGACCTTCACCAAAACGTGACCTAGGCTGGCCCCAAAGGCTGCCTAACCCACATAATTGCATTTGTCATGTAAAATGGACCATAAAACATGTATCACACGACACATTCATATTGTGACCCCCGGTGACCTGACCTCGCTGTGACCTGACCTGGTATCAGTGACCTCAGATAGCAAAGTATGTGTTTGACGAGCAATATACCATCGATGGTTTTCAATAAATTACCAATTTACTCGATTTCACAGCACATTTCTTGAATTGCCTGTGAACGGTGAAAATCTGACCTTTGACCTGACCTGTGACGTCATCGGTTTGACCTAGGTCAATGAAATTTGGTCACAAGGTAGTTCCCGGGTAGGGCTATCAAACGCCGTTTGAATTTTGAAAATCGGCCGGTAACTTTCCGAGATCTTAGGGGGGGGGGGGGCCGAAACGGCCCCCCCCCTACGGGTGGTAGGGTCCGCCGGTAGCCCTACGGGGCGCGGGTTAAAAGTATTTCGGTCATTTTTTACCTTAGAGCAATATTGGGGTCACCAGAGGTCATCAAGGGTCAAAATTTGCCAATTGTTATTATATTTTTCAGAAAACATGCCGCTATCTCAGGACCTATGGTAGCTAGAAAAACGCATGGAACAGCAATCGATAGTTTTTGAACTCTTCTTTTGAAAAGGTCATTATCAATATTGACCTCAGGTCAATGGTTTAGCCTCCAGAGGGCAAAAACTCCAAAAATAGCTGTTTTTACGAAAGTGTTTTTCGACAATAACTTTCGACTACAAAAAGCCACGACATTTCTATTGCCAGAATCGTGTTCCCCCCGCCGAGAGGCGTCGAATGAACTATAATTTGACCTTGAAAGGTCAACTTGAAAATTTGACCTCAGGTCAAGGTCATGACCTCACCGGAAAAGGTCATGTTGCATATCAATCGATGCGTCTCAACAAGTCAAACACAATGAGACCATCCGCAGCGTTCTATCTCTTTCCAATCGCGAGTTATTGGCAAAAAACTGTTTGTAGCCTCAAATGACCTCGGATGACCTTTCTAGAGGCTATCAGCAAAAATGACACCTT